ATCGATGGAAGAGATGGTTTGAATTTCCTCTCTCTCTGTCTCCGTTTTGCTCCCGCTCTGCACCCACGCTTCTTGCGTTTTAGCTCATTTGGGATTTGTGGCTTCAGTTGAGGTATTATTTCAGCCTTTCCAATGTTAATCAGCTGCTCCCGATTGTAAACCAGCTTGTTGCAATGGTTATGCATCATAACAAATGCTCAAAAAGTGAAAAAAGCTAAAAAATAGCAGTAAAAATCCTCCAAGCTTCACAGCACCAGAAACAGAAAAGTGTCCAAAAAATACAGTTTTTCTTGAGAAACTAGAAGAAAAAATGCCCAAGAAAAGGCAAAACTTACATATAGTCAACAGAACTGCTCCAACATGCAGCCGCCCAGAGCAGCGCAGCTCCGGTATGGGCACCAGATTCAGTTAAGAATTGTTTTGGGGACAGACAGAGATAATTTCCTCTGCCTTAGTGTTCTGTTGGTCTCCAACCCCATCCAGGTCCAATAATGGCGTAATTAATCTATCCCGATCCGTGCTGATCCGTCAGCTCTCTCCTTGATGGAATCCACCTTCTGTGCCAGAGCCTGAATCTCAGCCAAAGTTCCAAGCTTACGACTCATCTCAACAATTATATGAGTTTGTGCGTTCACAGCACGATGCATTCCATCCCTGAGCTCCAGGATTGAGCCAATATTCCTCGAAAGCTAGTTAATTTTCCGGTGTGCCAGGTAACCGCTCAGGCCAAACAGCAGGAATCCCGACACCAAAACGACGAATATCCAAACATCTTCAGAATCCTCTACAGACAGTTGAGAGAGGCAGGTCGGGTTCCACGGTTTCAATCGTTCAAAATCAAATGTTGCCCAACCCTAAATATCAGTTATTGGCCATAACAGGGATTTTACTATTGGATATCGGTATCGGCCCAAAGATTTCATATCGGTGCATTGACGGTGGCACAGGAGTTAAGAGCTCGCCCCATAATCGGAAGGTTGCAGGTTCAAGCCCCGCTCAGTCTGTCGCTGTCGTTGTGTCCTTGGGCAAGACACTTAACCCACGTTGCCTGCTGGTGGTGGTCGGAGGGACCGGTGGCGCCAGTGCTCGGCAGCCTCGCCTCTGTCAGTGTGCCCCAGGGCAGCTGTGGCTACATCGTAGCTCATCACCACCAGCGTGTGAAAGGGTGAATGACTGATTGTGTTGTAAAGCACCTTGGGGGGTTCCAGGACTCTAGAAGGCGCTATATCAAATACAGGCCATTTACCATTTATCACTAATCTGAATCTCATCTGTGATGTTTTTACAGTTCTGTACACGAAGTCCTCAGACAGAAACATCGAATCAGTCAAACATAAACGAAAACACCAGAATGAAATTTTTACGGCAAAGTGAACAAACTCTGTTAGAAATGCAGAGGAGGCGGCGGGCTGGAGCCCGATGGTGAGAAAATTAAAACGGAAGGAAAAAGATCCAGAACAGAAACAAATCAGGATTCATCATCATCTCATCCCTAAGAGGCAGAAACACGAGGTCCAGCAGGAGTCAAACGTCTCATTTCTCTACCTTCAAAGATTTTACTCCTTTGGGGATTTGTTCATTTACTAGTTCGTCGCCAGCAAAAGGGTCTAAAACTAAAAATTTAAAAGCAGGTTAATAAATGTTTTCGTAATTCCATAATAATGTTTCTGTTGGTCGTTTCAGCCGGTTGGTAGCAGCGTAGCTCACATGATTTAGAAAAGTGAGAAATGCGTTTTATTAACGGTGAAATGAGAGGGAAGGGGGCTGTTTTAGGGAGTTTTCTATTAAGAGTTTTAAAGAAGAAACAAGGAAAAACACCAAACTGGTGAATCCTGACAGTCGTGTTTTAGTCTCACCTGTCAGAAACACGAGCCGGCCCGCAGCAGGACGAGCCGAGCTACAGAAAACCAGACTTTTGTTCTCTTTCACTCTGGGGGAAACGGAAAATAAAAGATGACATTTCTGCGTCAGCGTGGACTTGACTGGAGAAACCTCTCGGTCGGTGCTGCAGTCTATTAGAGGGGCCTCCTCATTTATTTCCATGTGAAAGGAGGCGGTGAGCGGGTTAACAGCGTTCTCCTCCACAAAGCCTCTGACACACACACACACACACACACCACAGAGGAGTGAAGGTCACGGCCGAGCGTTCCCTCTGAACGCTGCTGAATAGGCGTGTGGTATGAATAAGGCCACGCGCTTGTCATGCTTGGCCTCAATTAAGGCGTGACAATAGCAGCAAAGCCCCGCCTCCACCGCCGCCCGGGGGTGCCACTCAAAACGTGTGTGTGTTTTGTTGGGCTTGAGCTGGTTGCAGTGTGGTAGGTAGGCGTGTGTGTGTGTGTGTGGGGGGGGGGGGGGGGGGGGGGGGGGGGGGGGGGCAGATGGCAACAGCTGGTTAAAACATCCCCTACAGAGCAGGGAGAAAACCCTCGGCACGTTTTCACCTTTGAGGAGAAAATTCAAAGTTTTACTTTTCTATTTTTCTTTCTTCGTCGATTTTTACAGTAAAAATGAAAATCACCGGAGATTTTAAAGATCGTCAAACCCGGAGCAAAAACCTGCCTCTGGGAGGGGAACGCTGGACCTGCGGGCGCCAGCTTTACTCAGTCGCAATAATTAGTTCATTCCTGATTAACCTGAAAATTCAGATTCTGGAAGAAAACGCTTTGCAGTGAAGAAACGGTGAGTTCATGGAACTGGAATGAAATTTGGCAATGGTGCATTCATGGACCGAGAAAAAAATCTGAGTTTGCGTTTCACATTGGCTCATCGCCGATTGATGCAAATAATAATCTGACTTTTTTTTTTTTACTTGCTTGGATTCAGCAAAACAAACGAAAAATAAAAATGAGGTTGAGACATAATTTAAAAAAAAGCCATATTTAGTTTACAAAAGGGTTGATTTCACAGCAGACACTAACACCAGCTTCTACATGGCTAATGGCCTTTTAGAGTCCTAGGCCCCCAAGGCGCTTTGCAACAAAGTCAGTAATTCACCCCTTCACACGCTGGTGGGGATGAGCTACAACGTAGCCACAGCTGTCCCGAGGCTCACTGACAGAGGCGAGGCTGCCGAGCGCTAGCGCCACCGGTCTGTCCGACCACCACCAGCAGGCAAGGTGGGTGAAGTGTCTTTCCCAAGGACACAACAGCAGCGTTCTAAGTAGAACCTTCTTTAAATGGAATGCGGCCTTCTCATCACACCTGTGCCTTCACCACACTCCCGGGTCTAAAATGTCTGCCGTGGAAAAAGCCAACGATCATAACCGATGTTGTTAAAACAGACCACAGACAAAGTTCGTGCATCACGTGGTCGGCGTGGAAAATGGCAGGATTACAAGTCTTATTCATTAATAGTCATGACATGCAAACGCCTCGCCACTGATTGGCTAACAGGAACGCGACTCTTCCACTGCCTTCGTTCACTCTTCTTTCCTGAGTAAAAAAATTAAACGTTGATGTTTTATCTCCACAAACAACAGAAGCGGCTAACAGTTAGCTTCTGCTAGACAAGACATGCTATGCTCTCTCCTTCCTGTGGGCGGTCCTGAGCCAAGGTGGGCGGGGCCATGGATGCTAATCCCTGTACGGGGCAGCGACTGGTTTTTCGTTTCCCGTCTGTTTCCTTTCTGCAGGTGATGGGGGTTGGAGGAGATTTTCACATTCAGTAACTCAGAGCGAGTGATCGTACTCCAGAAAAAAAAGGCACAAAAGCAGGGTATCTGCAGGTTTAAGGGAGCAAAATTTAAGACTTTTTAAGACCTTTTTTAAGGCCACTTTGACCAAATTAAAGCTATAATTTCCAGCTATTGCCTGGAACCGGAGCTAACCACGTCGTGAACGTGGGATTAGCCATCCAGTTACCATTAAACTTGCACTTCCCCACGGCGCAAGCTCCCACTAGCTTAACCAGCTAATGTGCTCATCTAAAAATAGTCCCCTTTCACAACCAACTGAATGTGTACGGTTCCGCTTACGGCAACATCGTACACAAAAAATGCTGAACACTAACTAGAAATTCACGAAACTTTTATAGAAAAAAAAGAATCTTGTTTATTGGGTCTTTGGTAATTTTAGACCTTTGGAAACTGTATTTAAGGGTTTTTAGTCATTTTTAAGGATTTTTAGGGCCTTAAATTTGGAAAAGCTAATTTAAGACTTTTTAAGGACCCGCAGATACCCTGAACACGGTTTCTATGGAAACCAGACCTCAAATAGGACATGGCTGCACAACTTTTTATCAGTCTCTCTTTGACTGTAACAAACTAAACATTTAAAATTGTATTAAAAGCTCAAGGTGAGAGTTGTTACCCCATCAACTCTGTAGCTTAAATTCAAAAATGTCTTTAGGATTATTCAGGATTTTGTTTGCTCGTCTGAGCTCACCGTTTCATATATTTATACGTTTGGAACATTAGTCTTGACACCCAACATGGGAATAAAAATAGTTCATTTAAACTGGTGGCTTGTTTCACTCAGGAGTGTCTGAAAGTCTGTTTTAATCCTAACTATTATTTATTATCGTTCACATCTATACCAAGACTTTCTTTTATCCAAATGAACACGTATCTTTTTAAGTAATTCAAAGAAACCAAACCGAACATCTTCTTAGCCACGATGGACATTTTTTTATACAAGAATTGAAATCAGCCTTTTTTTTCCTCACCCCGCTGCCGATCCTCAGAAAGGACCCCTGAGAACACAAGCCGAGGTTAAACTGCACTTCTGGAAACATTTATTTCTCCATTTAACTAAAGTAACTCCTCCAGAAAAGCAGAGGTTTGTTCTCCATCTGAACTCCAACCTCGCGTCAAAAGCTACAGAACACCCCTTTAAAGACCTGCTGACCCAGGAAACAGAAGCAGCTTCTCTGGGGTTTTTTTTCTAACCCCCACCGTGGGTTTTATGGCCCACGGGCTGCATCATAAACCTCCACCCCGGTCCCTCCCTGCAGGGCCTCAAGGGCATTGGAAGCGAGCGCCCCCTCCTTTTGTAGTTACCTTGTTTGATCTGGGCCTGTAGCGCCGGGTTGGAGGGCTGAGAGGGGGCAGCAGGCGTCCTCCGAGGAGACTCCGGGGTTCCTCCTGGTCTGGGAGGCCTGGAGGAGGATCACAAAGGGGAGACATGAAATATTTAAGGTGTGAGGAGAACCGAGAGGAGAGCCAGAAACACACAAAAACTACAAAACAAGATTCAGAGGAACACAAAAACACTTCCTGTTTTTGTTTGCAGAAACCGTGTGTGTGTGCGTGTGTGCGCGTGCGTGCATGTGTGTGTGCGTGTGTGTGTGTGCGTGTGTGTGTGTGTGTGTGTGTATTCGGAGGCTCCAGCCTATTGAATTTCAGGTGCAGTCCTCTCTTAACAGACTGGAGGCGCCGAACTTTCAGACACACACAAACACTTCCAATACAACAATCAATGCTCTGATCAATAAAGGTTGCTAGGCAACAAATCACATCCAGGGAGATTTGATGTCGGAGGTGGAAAAGCCCTATGCTGACAGGGAGGAGAGAAGAAGGTTAAGAACTTTGAGACGTTATAAAATAATATTGATGAACACAAAACTGACACCAGACGACCGAGTCGTCTAACTCCAACGGAAGGATCAGAACTACGCCCTAAATAACAACAGAACACCTTCTTTACCTCCAACCGACATCTGAAAATGGTGCTCAGCTGATTCCAAGAGGAAGGAGTGATTTAACAAGAAAGAGTGATGAGGAAGGATGGAGGATGGACGGAAAGATGTAAGGATGGATGTTTGGACAGAAGGAAGAACAAGAAACGTGTGAATGAAAGGAGGGATGGAGGGGTTGGTGACTGGATGCAGAATGATGGGTGGATGGAATGAAAACATCCTCTACGATGATCACGTACTGAAATGTAAACCTGTCGTTCATAAGAAGGAAGGCTGTGACCAAAATCCACAAGCACCACAAGTTCAGCACTGCTTGTTTTCAAGCTCCAACTCACAGAAAACAAGTGGTTCCACCATCATAAATGTAAGATGGGGAACATGAAAAAGCCAAAAAGCAAAACACCGTCAAATATTCACAAGTGCAGGATTGGAGTGGTGAAGTGGAAACGGTCGGAGGGAAGAAGATCCTTCTTTGACTTATAAGGCAGCATCTGTGCAGAAGCAGCCTGGTTTCAACAGACCACAGGAAGAAAGTTCTGAGAAATCTGTCAACAGGATTAAAAAGTTTTCTGCCCGTCTTCTACGCTCAAACACTCAACGTGTGGCTCTGCAAACAAACCCAACACTAGAAACCAGATCTACTATTAAAACTTCCTCCAAACAAGTGATTTGGTTCATCACTTCTGAATCAAAACGATCCTAAATTACCAACCGAACTTTGAGATTGTGTGTGATCTGTTTGTGAACGGCAAACCGAGTGGTTGAATGGCAACATTAAAGGGACTTTACGGACTTTTGAATTTTTATGCTCGTGATCGCCCCCTCAGGCCAAAAGCGTAACGGCAGCTTCTATAGTAGGCTCGTGCATGAGGCGCGCATGCTGTACGTGCACACTCCTTAACGAAAATAACAGCTGAGACAGTCCCTTGTGTGTGTGTGTGTGTGTGTGTGTGTGTGTGTGTGTGTGTGTGTGTGTGTGTGTGTGTGTGTGAGTGTGTGTGTGTGTGTGTGTGTGTGTGTGCGCGCGCGTGCGTGCGTGCGTGTGTGTGTGTGTGTGTGTGTGTGTGTGTGGGTGCGCGTGCGTGCGTGCGTGTGTGTGTGTGTGTGTGTGTGTGTGTGTGTGTGGGTGCGCGTGCGTGCGTGTGTGTGTGTGTGTGTGTGTCCCGGAGGACAGAGGACAGGAGAACGAGCAGCTAATTAATTAAATAATGTGGTTCTGTACCTTTCTCTTCAGCACAGCCGACAAAGGTTTATGATGGGTCAGTCCTCCTGCATGCTCAGATCATTCCCTTCCCTTGCTTGAAAAATTGTTCCAAAATGAAAGTTGAACCCACATCTTTTTTATCTGTGAATTCAATGCCGTTCGGCGAGTCTCAAATAAAAATGTGGGCATCTTACTGTAAAAAATATACCATTAATGTAAAAAATAAACTCTAAATAAACTATGTTCACATCCAGAATCAAACCCAGATCTTCTGCATGGGAGTCAGACATCTTCCAAGGTGAGCTACACTCTAGTAACATTCACAGCATCTGTAACATTTATATCCTTGATGACAGCTGAAACAACGTCAAACCAAAGAACGGTTCGGAGTGAAAATGGCTATTTTGTTGCTAATTTGCAGGAAATATCTAGAAGAAAGTTCTACAGAAAGTAGCTAAGGGTCCTCAGAAATGTAGCTAGCTTTGTCACTAGGCGTTAGGAACAGCGACAAAGTGGCACTGCCTCTCTCTCTGCTGCTAAAGCTACGGATAGCAAATGCTACGGGCGATGCCTGAGCGTGAACGCGCATGAAGGAGCCTTCTCAACCCGAGCATCTCTTTTTCTGTGATTTTACAGAAAAACAGGCAATCACAGTAAA